AGCCAAAGTTGTGCGAAAACGTTATCCAGAATTTTAAGAAAAGTCTGACCCTGTGCCAGAGATTTCGTGGTGGCTATTTACCGGATGTTGTGGTATTTCATTCCTCTTCATGTTGAAATACAAATATTCGCTTAATTGAAATTGTGTTTTTCTTGAAAATCAAATCCGGCGCTCTTATTGAGACACCCTTTATATGTGGCTTATTGTTTTCAACCTATTTGCGAAATGAGCAGAGGAAACCTCATAACCGCCAATTTACATTTCGGACAGACTAAATATAACGCTAATAAGAGTAGTGAAAATAAATGCATACATATTTTGTCTGAGAAATCCATCATTGATCTTGCATAGTATATCCTTTGCCGCTATTACACGTGCCTCAAGATACAAAGGTATTCGACCAATAATGAGGCACTTTTCAACATTTGTATGTATTTTAAAAGATTCCACGAACAACATAATTTTAGATTATAATTACTATTCACATCTTTTTGCCCACTCCTTTAAAAATTATCTATATCCAGCAGTTCATGTCACATGCATCACTTGTCCACGGCAACTTTTTTCAAAGTACAGTTAACTCACAATCGATAAAATATCTCTTAAGCCATACGGTTTGTTCAATTTTTGGTCCCAAACCTCGAGAAGATATGAAGCAACAGAAATTATTTACATACCGAATATTTTAATAGACTTCTAGGACATTTTTACTGATAATGTATTACCAGAAAGCTCCATCTTATGGCAGAAACAATCTCCATTAACGTTAAATAGTTAATAAGTCTTTTTAATCCTAACTAATATATGTCCGCTGTCGTTAGAAAACGATTATGTTCTATATTTACTTAGATTTTCTGCCATTTCATTTGCCTGAGGTACAAATTTATCCAAGTATTACGTAAGAGATTTAGCCAAAAAGCATCAGAGAGCGTATGACAAACATTTTTTGGCTTTGTTTTACAAAACTAATTATACCTGGTTATGCATTCGTCTCGCGACCTGACATTTATTTGGATTGTCTGACCCGCGCTTGGGAGTGTGCCTTTTGTTATGTAGTCCGTTCTGGATCTCTGGCTGGAATAGCAACTTGAATGATGTCATTCAATGAATTAGGTACCCAGAATCGGTACATACACCTAGATACTTATCAATAGTTGATATAAATTGAAATATATTACGTAAATTACGTAATAATACAAATTCCGAATTCACTACTCTGTACTTCACTTTCCATTTTCCATCCGATGCTGTGATCTGGTCATGATATTAGATTCATACAGTATTTCTATAACGTGGAGAGTACCATTCAGATTTTGATAAAATGCCTAGTAATCTAAGGACATCCAAATTATGGTTCGAAAAAATTAAAAAAAAACACGTTTTATTAGCAAATCGAACTAAAAGTTTGAAATAATTTTCAAGTATACTAGAGTTTATGTGCTTGTTGCACACAGTAGTTGTACATTTTTTCTGAAGCTTTTGATTATAAGTTCTTTTGTTGAGGCTAATAAATCAGAAGCGGAAAAATGAAAGCCAGGTGACACAGAGGACCTCAATACCTATCGAATTAATCATAGGTGTTATCCAAAACTCAGTATTTCTGCTTTTGTGAAATTCAGCAATCCTTTGTTGCGTGGGTCAGTAGACTATACAGCCGAGCAAGTTCGCAAGCAAGCAAGAGAGGATCTCTCACCGTAGCGGTCACGCAATTTCAGGTCTACCAAGTTTAAATGTTTCTATAACATCAAACATCAAAATTTAGTTTTTCAGATAAAAATCCTGCGCTCTAGGTAACAATGCACACCACTCCAATCGATTCACTTCCTCCTTTTCGCTCCAAAATACCTATGTCTCTAGTCAGGATGGAAGTGAAAGGAAGAAAGAAACTATAAAGTGGACTTGACATAGGTCAATTTATTAACAGTTTTTAAAATTAGTGTTCTTGGTGTTATTTTTTGAAAGTGCGATTGTTTGCAGATAGTTGTGGTGCTAGACCATTTCAGGACATGATACTTTTTGCATAATTTGCAAAGATCGGCACAAGGTACAAATCTTTCCAACGGTAGGTACCTACATTATTATTATGTTGTCACTTTAGTAGGCAATGGTAATCAAATGAGTCAAAAGTTTGTACAAAAAGTACGCAATTTTCAAATATTTCAAAATTTCAGTTCAGAGTTTGCAAAATTTTTGGAAGTTTCTGAACGTTTAAAATTGAAAGTTGTGAAGATTTTGAAAGTTTCGGTTGATTTTAAATTTTGAAGAATTAGAAAATTTAAAATTTTTCATTTTAAAAATTTGTATATATAATTTTGGTAGTTTTCGAAAACCTGGGATAACAACTCTTACACCCTACTGTGAAATGCAAATGTTAAATCCTGAATCCTCCCTTGAATGTACCTCAAAAGGAAGGCGCTATTGTTTGTTTAAATCCCATCAAGGAGACGCGATTTGTATGTATAATAAACTCAAAAATGCGGTAGATGATTCGAAGAAGCTACTGGTACTGAATTAATGTACCTATCTTATTTCTTCTACTCCTTCCGCATGGGATTTAAAAATGTAGTCATCACGTGTCTTGGAAAAGTTTGACCCACGTCAACTTCTGTGTATAACTCACCATGTTCTTACTAGGTACCTACACAAAATTGAGCCGATAAGAGATTTATCCGCTATTTGGACCCGTACCTACCTATAGATACACCTCCACATGAACGCATCTGTATCTTGGTAAGAAAGCGTCTTATTTTTCGAGGTATTTTCTGGATGATTAAGATTTGTCACTGTTTTTTAAGCACCATGTATACTATAAATGAAAACACTTCGCAGTGCATTTACACTTTTCGAAAACATTTCTTATTACTCCCCTGTCAAGTTCGAATCCATGGGTGAATCTTCCTGTCATTGGTGTACACAAAGAGACCGATAAAGGGGCGGTCAATTGGATTATTATCAACCTCCTAGCAGATTGTAGACTAATCATGGATATGGCCATTGATTTATTTATTCAACTATCAGGTTGAATCCGTTAATCAATGGTGTGGCCCTAGGGCGGATTTAGAGAGGGCGCCATGTCCCAATTGTGTGACGTGTCCTAGACGTATCCCACCCCTGCTCTTCAATTGTCACGAGCATTTGGTCTCAGAGATTAGGTGCCTGCTTAAGTGCTTATAAGCTTAAGGTACAGATAGACATGCTATAAAAAAGCATGCCTGTGAGCATGCTTCAAACGAGAATGCTCTTTTAACTGTATACATGTGCTTGAAATAAGTATGCTCGTTTCAGGCATGCTCCTGCAGAAGCATGCTTAAAACAAACACTCTACCTACACGTACCATTTGCTAGCATCTGTCAGTGTAGTGTGGTGGAAAACATGGAACACGACGTGGCTATCCGCACACAAATGAACGAAACCATCATATTACTTGCAGTGCAATGCATACGCAATATACTTTTAACAAAAAAGAAAAAAAGAAGGAATAGGACGATTTGGGTCCGTGATTGGATAAATAGAAGAGAAAATCTTGGAGCCAGTACTCGTTTGTTGGTCGAAATGCGAGCAGAAGATAGTGAGGGTTATCAAAATCATTTACGTATGCTTCCGCATCAGTTTGACGAGTTACTCTCTAAAATTGAAAATGCTATACAAAAACAAGATACACATATGCGAAATGCTATTCCAGCTAAAATCAAATTGAAAGTTACACTGAGATACCTTGCAGCTGGAGATTCCATGTACACATTAGAAGCACTTCACAGGGTTGCGAGATCTACCATAGCTCAATTTATACCAGAAGTTTGTGATGCAATATACAGGGCTTTGAAGGATTATATGCGGTTAAGTAGAACACTGATATTATTTCAAATGAAACATTTATTTTTGTTAACATATTATCTGATAAGTACATACTTTAAGAAAATCTCCATGCTCTGCTTAAAGCGTCTTCTGCTTCGGTTTGGCTGTTGTTAGTTTGAATATTTGTAAAAGTAGGTGTGGAATTTATTATTTGTGTGGATGAAGTGGAGTATGTAGACAAGTTTGGGTACAGATGTCGACGTCTAGCCGCAGTTATAATTGTCTGAATCTCAGTTTGCACGTTTAGTGCATCATCTAATGGTAGGGCTCGCAATTGGGCAGCAATATTCAAACAAAAAAAAATGAAATTCATCATATTCTGCTTGTCTGTTTATAGACGAAGTTATATTTTCTAAACGATTTAGAGCAGAAGTGATCGGCTCTTCTTGTATGCTCCTTCTTTTACGCTGTGCTGGTGTGTCCTTAGATGAACGGGATGGTGTTCCTTCTTCCGCAATGTCAGTAGTCGAGGGTGGCGACATTACGGTGCTGACTGATGGCGGTGACAAGGGGTTAGAGTTCGAATTAGCACTAGTTGGTCGAGAATCCTGCGATGACTTATCTGTGTTCTGTAAAAAAGATTAATAATAATAATAATAAATATTAGATAATAATAATTCTACTGTATACTATTGGATATAGAGATTTTGTTTTCTTTTTACAGATTCCGTGCCATGAAGAATGGAAGCGTATTGAGCATGGATTTCAAACTAAATGGAACTTTCCAGGATGTATTGGGGCGCTGGACGGCAAACACATAAATATACGTGCTCCTGATGATACTTCCGATTATTACAATTGTAAGGGTGCCCACAGCACTATACTTCTCGCAATAGTTGACGATAATTACTGTTTTTCATATGTAAATGTTGGAACTAATGGGAGAGCTTCTGACGGCGGTGTTTTTCAACGATCAAAGTTGGCACAAGCTTTAGAAAATAATACTCTTAATTTACCAGAGCGATCGATAATTGTGGCAGACGCGGCTTTTCCTTTAAAGACTTATCTAATGAAGCCCTACCCATGAACACCAACGCATAAAGAACAAGTGTTTAACTACCGTTTGTCGAGGGCTAGACGAATTGTAGAAAATGCGTTTGGTATTTTAGTCACAAGATTTCGAGTTCTTCTGAACACTATAGACATGAGACCAAAAAATGTTGATAGTATTGTATTGGCTCCTTGCTCGTTACATAATTGGCTGCGAAAAACATCCGATATGTATATCACTCACAGATGCGTCGATTTTGAAGATGTACAACAACGTGTTGTTGTACCAGGAGCATGGAGGATACAACTGCGTACAGCTATGGGAAGCCTACCACCTGCGCGTCATAGTAACCATGCCTCTCGAAAGGCAGAAGCAATAAGAAACGCTTATGCACAACTTTTTGAAACTACAGAAGCGGTACCATGGCAAGACCTGTACTTATAGTATATATTATGTTCTATACAAAACTCTAGGCGATATAATAATAAAAGTATAAAAACTTACCACTGCTGTCTCAATAGTCTCAATCACCTGTGTCTCCAAGGAAAGAGTGCATTTCTTTAAACCATGGCAGGGATGGACTATATACTGTTGCGGCACCAGATCCGGATCGCTTCGAACTGTTAATTTTTTTCACTTCTGAGTGGTAAACAGACCTCAAATTTTTAATTTTGGTTTTTATAATTTTAACAGTTAGAGTAGGGTCATTCATGTTTATTATCAAATCTTTATACGCATTATTTCTTGAAATATTGTTTTTGTAATCCGGTAGCTTTGGATTCCAAAGGCATTCATGGCTCCGGTAAAGATTTACAAATTTAAACGTCTTTTCATCTCCCCAGCGAGACATTTTGGCTCGATGTCGCAACACACACGCACACTTGCGACGGAACACTAGCATGCTCGTTATTAGCAAATTCGTCCACACTTGCTCAAGGGCATTCCCCCTCCATCCACATCTCAAGTAGCACGCTCAAAAATCGAACGTCGATCGATTTGTCTGCATGCTAGTTTTGAGCATGCTGAATACTAGCAACTAGCAAATGCTTAGACACACGTGCGAGTAGGTAGCAATTGCTCATTAGTAGCATGCTTTTGTGCTAGTTTTGAGCATGTCTATCTGTACCTTTACTTCAACCTCCCTCTTCTTAAACCTGAATGCTAGGACTACGACACTGCCCCCACTCTAGACAGATTACTAAATCTACCCTTGATGTGGCTTCTGTCAGTGATATGAGAGAATGGTTAAGTAGATGGTGACCCCGTTTCGTTAGATCCTAAGGAGGCATTTATGGATACGCCGCTGCCTACTGTTATCATTTTTCGCTTCGCTTCCACCTCAAAACAATAGTACAATTTTGGTACACCGTGTATGCGCGAATTACGCTGAAACATGAAGTGCAGTGAATAAATATATACCACCATTCTATTTGTACAGCAAAACAGTTACTAAAAATACAAACGTGTAGGAGTCATCCTTCAATTTTGTTGAATAGATGGTGCAACACTTATACAACCAACATTGCCACATACATTGTCCAGTGCGCCCACATGTGCGACAGTAAGCAATAAGCATTCTTTTCCAGCTAGATATCTAGACCACAAAATCTACACCATGGAGACACTCGAAATAATAAATGATCCTGGCTTGCAGATGGCACTAAAGTTCTAATATCGTTGCAAATCGTTGACTCTTCGTTGACTTCTAAGGTTTTGACGTTATCAAGTTGACATGTAGGTGTAATCTTAATCTAACCTCATTTTGACGTGTTTTTAAACAAACTACTAAAGAAATTTGTAGTCAAAATAATCAGTTTTATGCATTATTACACTATAATCTTTATTTGTTTGGGACAATTTATATCATAAAGCGCTTTCCATATTTGATTTAGGTATTATTAGCGCATCTACTCTCAAAAATGCAGCGAGAGAGGAGGGCCAATGCCGGCAATCGGATGGCTAAATTGCTGGATGAGGAAGAAGAATGTCAAGACGACTTTTATAAAACGAACTATGGTGGATTTCAAGAAACAGAATCCGATAATGAATACGAGTAAGTTGAATAAACATTCCTCAAATTATCTGATTAAGTTAAAGGATAAACCAATGTCGAGAAAGTAATGTACACAGAAGCATTATATTCATTTCACTATGACCCTTACAATTATTCTATTCGCAAGAGATCTTTCTTCCATTAGTGCTTCACATAAAACACTGTGCATAAAATTGATAAAATATGAATGTAGAAAACGGTAAGAAATATAGTTACATATCGTCAGTCTCCTCACGTACATGCGTAAATGATAAAATTCCAAAATCGAATTAACCTGTAATTTCACATACTTTTTGTAGTCTCTCACCTCAGGAAGTGACGTAACTGTATGTCAGTTTGCTGCTAAAAAATCGGTATGTCATTTTCAATCTTATTTATTGCTGATTTTTGTTTTCTAGCTCTCCCATAAAATTTGTAAAATGTTTGTTATGCTGATATGTGTGGAGACGGACGATATGATAGGCAATTTATACAGAGGTAATTTCATCAAACGCTCAACTACCAGGATAAGGAAAATCAGTTTTATCTGGTTAGTTTTGTTAAAGGAGAGAAGCATTGTTGACATTCTGTTGTGGTCCATTCTAAATTTACATTTCTAATCTTCAATGATGTGTCTATGCATTTTGCTGATTGATATATAATATTCAACCCAATGCCCTTTGGAACATATATTTTTAACAAGATGGTGTGACAATAATTGCAGCACAGCTTTTATAGCCATGGCTGTATTGCAGAAATTTGGTGAGCAGATAATTTCTCATTTTGGACTGATAAATTAGCTCTAATCATGTGATGTCACACCTTTATACTGTTTTGTTTTAAGCTGTTTACACTGATATCAAGGTATAGTTGAAGAATTGGAAAACAGTGTTACTCTATTTATTACAAATAACTTATGGTTGATGGATCTTTAGCCTCTTAGAATCAAAATATTGGGAGTTTCATAGATTTTGGCCATTTCTTCATGGCCTCACAACTTTTTAATCACTTGTTATATTTTTCTCTAACTTGTTATGCTTACTCGGCCTATGCTATTGAATTGACTATGATATGAGCACAAAAATAATAATAATAACAAATCTTTATTTCAAAATAACAGTGCATGATTACAATGTATTACACACTGTTAGGTGAAATATACATCACAGTGTCATCAAGACAGGAAAAACAAAGAGGCAAAACATATAACATAATAGAGATATTACATTTCAAAATATTCTTGAAGGTCATATGGTTCTAAGTGCATTAACTATTGATGAATACTCTTTTTATATTCTTTTATATCTGCCAACCTTTTAATTTCTTGTGGTAACTTATATATTTTAGTCCAGCTGTAATGGACATTTTTTTCAGTAACCGTGAGATAATGGACTGGATACAGAAGATTTATATTTCTATTTCTTGTGTTATAGTCACTTCGTGGGTTACCGATAAAATTGTTAATATTTTTAAATGTAAAAATTAGAATCTCTTGAATATATATTGCAGCTACAGTTAAAATTTTATTAGTCTTAAATTTTCCTCTGCAAGTCTCTCTAAAGGAAATTTTTAGGATGCACCTCAACACTCGCTTTTGCACTAGAAAGATCCTAATGGTATGGCTACTATTCCAAAACGTACAATGGATTCAAAATTCGCGGAATATACCGTTTTTAGAGTCTTGAGGTCTAGGTACTTGTTTAGTACTCTAATACTATAACATGCATGTTTAACCTTTTTTCTAGATGTTTAGCCCAGGAAAGTGCTTGGTCAATATGAACTCCCAAGAATTTTCCACTGTCTGTCAGAGGGACTTCTATTCTTTCTGCCTAGGTGATGTTTGTAGCTTCGATTTTTTTCTTAACTTAAAAACAATCGCATTTGTTTTTGAGGTATTCAGAGATAAACCATTAAGAGCAAACCACAAAAACACTTTCTCGCAGAGGCTCAAAGTACTATCAGCTAAATGGTTGAAATCTTGGCCAGCGACTAGTACACTAGTGTCATCAGCGTATTGGATCGTGCATCCATTATTTGGGCTTGTAATACTAGCTCACAGATTGTTCACAAAAATCAAAAAGAGGAGAGGTCCTAAGATGCTACCTTGTGGAATACCTCTTTCTACCGTTAACTGTGATGAAACGGCTGATATTTCATTCTTTGTAATGAAAACTCTTTGCTGAAGATCTGTCAGATAAGGCTTAATCCAGCTGCAAGCACTTCCCCTTATCGCATATGCCCGAGTTTATTCAATAGTAGAGAATAATCCACACAATCATAAGCTTTGGAGAGATCAAAAAACAGACCCAGCGATATCATATTATTTTCAAAGCATTCTATGATGTTGTGGCTGAAAGAATAGATCGCCGTGTTAATGGATTTCCCTTTTACAAACCCATGTTGTGACTCTGCAATTAAGTTGTTACATATCATATGATTCATAATTCTTGAATACATCAATAACTTAAAAAGCTTTGCAAAACAAGAAAGTAAGCTTATTGGCCTATAATTTAGCAAGTCACTAGGATCTCCTTTTTTATATATATAGATATAATTATAGCTAATTTAAGTTTTTCAGGGAAAATACCGTACTTAAGTGAGTTGTTTATTATGTGAACCAAAGGTTCCAGAATTACTACTAAGCAATATTTTAAAATACTAGCTGGAATGCCATCATCACCACTAATCATTTTATTTTTAAGTTTTTTGCCCAGTTCTGCTAGTTCTAGAGCAGTAACATATTCTTGCACATGGTCTAAAAAGTCGGAAGAGTTATGTATTGGTGCCTGTGGTGATATTTTAATTACTTCATTAATACAGTATTCATTGAAAGCATTTTCTATAACTTCAGGATCACCTGGAATAACACGGGCATCTCTATTTTGACCTTTTATTTACTTTACTATACTCCACACATATTTTGATTTATTATCTGACTCTTGTATACGTCTTTGATATGACTTATATCGCGCATTAGTTAACAATATATTGTACTCTCTTCTGACTTTGTTATAGCATGGTTTATAGGAATTGTCACTGTTGCTTATAACATATAGAACATCCAGTCGGCCCCTACATTCCTTAATATTATTATCCTTTTCCTGAGAATAATTTGGGTTAGGCAGCCTTTTTGTCACTTTTACTGTTTTCATGGGAAACAATTGATCAAAAATAGGTTGAAATATACTACTAAAATAATTCCATTGTTTGTTTACATCATTCTGAGGAATTTGAAGTAATTTTTGCCAGTTTACAGATCTGAGGCTAGTTAAAAAAAATCTTTATTTTCTGTATAACATCACCAAGATTGTGCATATTAACCTTCATTGTTATTTTTTGAGCAGTGTGATCTGAGATTAATGAATTAATGACATTAGAAACATGAGTTGAGGTATTGGTGAAAATATTGTCAATACAAGATCCACTGGTAGATGTTATGCGTGTGTATTGAAATATAGTTTGATGTAATTCATATGAATTTAAAAGTGTACATAAGAGTTATTTGTTCAGACTTTCCTGAGAAAAATCTATATTGAAATCACCGACTATGAAAATTGTGGCACTGTCATTGCTGATTTTCAGTAGAATTCGTTCCATATTTTCTAAAAACACATGCATATTACCAGACGGTGGTCTATATATTGTCAACATTATGAAATTCAATCCATATAAGGAACCTTTTACTGCAGCACACTCCAGCGAACCTTCCACAGATAATTATTTTATATCTGACCTTTTCGAGCACTGAACTCCCACCCTCACATAAACTGCACTCCCACCATGCTTCCCTTGTTTTCTGTAAAAACACGATGCTAAATTGAAGTTCCTAATTCCATAGTTGATACTTTGGTCTTGACCCTTCCAGTGTTCAGTGATGCAAATGAATTTACAGTCACTATTATTTGCTATCATCTGGTTTACCTCATTTATTGAGTTTCCAAGCGACTGGACGTTTTGATGGAGTAGAGCTATTCTGTTGTATTCCTCCATATGCTTGAAAGAGCCATAGGTGTCAGACTCAACAGCATCAATTTGTTCCCTGTTTATGTTTGAAAATCCTGGCTGTAATTGATCTTATTTCTAAATCTCCTAATTCTCGATGTGTAGACTGGACATTTTGGGTCGCGGGCAGAGTGATTAAGGTCACTATATTTCATTTTTTGGCGATTTACACATTTAAGCTGACAGCTGGTGGCTTCATGGTTACCTGAACATTTGTAGCATAGCATAAACCCTTACCAAATCGAAGTTTATCTGACCACGTTTTAAGAACCACTTAGCAATTTCGGGCGGTGCTTGTAAAATCCAGTTTTCTTTATGTGGATTACGGCAGTTCTTCTTTGTAACGACCTTGATTTTATCTGTAATACTATAGTTTAATTCAGCTTCAATTTCATTATTCAGCTTTATGAGCTCATCTATGAATTCTTTTGCCTCATATCCTTTTTCAGTTCCTGTGATCAAGAACATAGGGTCGATTCCATCTGATGTTTTGATTGTTATGTCGTTCTTATCTTTCAATATATTTTTCAGTTTCTGTTTTTGGCTTGCAGTGTGACTTTCTACTATTACTGCCCCTGATTGTAATTGTCTAATATTTTTGAAGCCTCCTTCAGTATCCTTTTGCGTAAACTCTTGTTTAAGTCTACTTAGGACCACCCTAGGATTTTCTGTTTTTTCCACTCTTATGATTGACTCAGATTTCCGATTTTCTGGTGGAGTCGTCCATGGTTCTTCCACTTTGCTTATTGGTTCTTTGGTTGTACTTACTGACTTTCCACCTACAATACTGGCATAACTTCTTGGTTGCACTATTTCAGTTCTACTTGTTTTCCTTGCACGTTCGATAGGTTTTCACTAGAATCCGTGCGTGTACACTTTGGCTGGCTGTTTTCTATTCTAGCTGCTAACACTACATTCTCTTTTTCTAGCTGACTGACTTTGTTCTCAACTTGTGTCAGTAATTTTTGTATATTCATAGCGGCTTGTACGATGCATGTTTTATCCTGTGTGTTGAAAGGAGTAAGCGTCATGTCTCTATCGATGCGCCTGCTTATGGTATCAATTTCATCAAAAAAGTTCTTCCGTCATACAGTTTTTCAATTCATGACACAGCCTTTTACTAACATTTTCTGCCCCTGGACTAGATTGCGATCTGGGTCTTTTAACTTTTTCAATGTTAAGGTGGTGTTCTGTAAGAATGTAGGCGTGGCTTCTATGGTATTCTTGTCTTACTTTAGGTCGGGTACGAGAAATTGAAAATTTTGGTATGAATATTGCGTCAACATCATACGTTGTATCATTTTTGTTATCTGATTTTGTGTTATCACCTTGTAGATTTCTTTCATGCACTCTTACCATTTCGTTAGTACCACACCTTTTTGCACCAACTTTTATCTCTGTTGTTGTTTTATTCGGAACATGTTCACTGCCAAGGATTATTTTATTTATCTCCTCTTTTTGTAAGGTAAGTGTGCTAAGGGAGCTATATCGGCCCCTCTTTTTCAGTTAACACGTCTAACCGTAACAAGCAGCGAACGGAAAAAAAGAGAGGTACAGACAAGTTGACATTTAACAAATGATGTTCTACTCTAAAACAACGCCTTGTATATTGGAAATTTAAAATTTCGTTTACATAATTGGAAAGAGCACAGAAACTTCATTCCCATGATCAACTTTTATTTTAGCAGCCAATATTGTAAGAACTGCAGATTTTATTCATTTTGGAGTATAGTTGTATTCGCCATTCTTGGCGGGTCATAGTAAGACTACCAGTATCTCTTTATATATCTACATCACCCTGATACATATACATACAACCTACCCCTGTGTGTGAATGTTTGTTGGGTGAGCTCAAAGACATTTTTTAGTTGCGTGTCTCTGTCTCAGACTTTGTCATTACTATGAGTACCCTTCAATCATATTTGTCAGAGTGACAACTTACTTGACATCGGCGTGCAATTTTAGTTGTCCTGTTATCAATCTTCAATATAAAATTGTACAGTGCCCAAAAATACGATCAATGTAGAAGGCCGACAGCTCGTGCTCAATTTATTAGAGTGTTTCCAGGAAGAGAATGAAAACAGCGGTCCCCTCTTATCCTCTTTATGCGTACTGGAGAGTGTAGCAGATGCGCTGAAGATTAGTCTGCGCCCATGGTACGGAGACTACAACTATATAAAGCTATCAATTTATCTATCTGTCAATTTTGTGACTGTCTACTCATGATTTCATGCGCCTCATGTCAGATTTAGAAGGTCATTGTGTAGATCAGTTACTTCATCATGAATAAGGACCAATAAAAACATTCTTCCAGGTCCATATAAAAAACTAAAGGTTTGTGGTTATGTCTAAGTCTATCAAATTTAAACATTCATGATTATCACACAGCCAAAATGTCACAGTGCTGTGCAAATAGAAACATTAGCTCAGTGGTAACTATCCATAGAGTGTATATTTTTCCCTGCCAGTATTGCAATTGATTTGATAGAGTTGTTGAGAATGCATACTAAGTTTCAAATTAAATAAAATACACAGGGTGTTCTATTGATTTTGGCTATCTCTTTATTGGCTCATACCATTTCAATGGATGCCGCCGAGCCAGTGTCGCCATTTACACTGCCTGTGATGTTCTTGGTGTAAATGTGAAGTTGAGGGACCTCTTTTATACAAATTTCTTCAATATATGGATATGGACTGGAACCCGGGCATAAAATTGGATCACAAGAATGAAGATTCTGTGCTCTTTGCAAATATGTCAACGAAATTCAGAATTCATATATACAGGGTGTAGTTATTGGATAAAACGGTTTTGTCAAATTTTGTCTAGTCCGGTCATATGTTTCTTTTCCTGTTCGTATCATAGTTGATTCGGTAGCATAAGCTGAATACATGTACTAGATTTCAGCAAAATATAACGAGTGTTTAAAGTGTTGTGAGGCCATTAAGAAATGGACAGTATCTATAAAACTCCCTGAATCTCAGTTATAAGAGGTTGAAGATCCATCACCACTGTGGCCTCTTAACGGTTACAATAAGCACCCTGTATAAGTGGTAATTTATAATTGATATACATATTTTATACAGCTATTCTTAGTGTTTATAAACAGTGAAATACCTTATGTTTTCAATTTTTTAGTGGCAGAATAGCAGTATGCTAAACTTCCCCAATAATGATAATTATTATCATTTTTCAGGGCAGAAGAAGAAGCTGATGATATAGTTGACTCAGATTTCAGCATAGATGAAAATGATGAACCCATTTCAGATACAGAAGGCGATGAAGGGCAAAAAAAGAAACGTAGACTGGTTACAAAGGCTTACAAGGTATATTTTAATGAGTTCTACAAAATTTTTACAATGCAATGTCTTATTTTTTATTCTTTATCAGATAAACTTATTCATTAATAATATTTTTTTGTAGGAACCATTACCTGTACAGAAAAAAGAGCGGAAGCCAAAACCACCAAAAGAATTTAGTTCTGAGCAAAAATCAGGTCGACAACAAGAAAAGTCAGAAGAATATGGTAAACATATCATTATCTTTAAAATATATCATATATAACATATCTTCAAATTCGAATAAAATAGGTCCAAGTTTCTCATCATAAGCAGTTATTGAAAGGCAGAAGTTGTGTATGAATATAAATGCCCGCCTACGAAAGCTCAAATCTGAGCCCTCTTGACTATTTTGTCTGGCACTTTTTTGGTATGGTTCAGGGCGACTATTTTAAACAGCTTTATATAAATTGCTCTTCGGCTGCTCTATAATGCTTGATTGATGGGCATAAACCTTACTTTTTTAGAAATCCACTGTCGCCACTATAGTTGGTAGACTTGGGGATCACATGACATCTCCTAAAGGAGATATCGAATCTTCTGCAAAACAAACATTCATTGTTTGTCTAGCTAGTGATATGTTTCTCCATCACTCTGTTCAGGATTCACAAAGCTTTGGGTCACGTCGCCGTAATGCTAGCCGGTGGCATTATAGGAATTACCTGCAGCATGACATTAGATCTCAATTTTTTGAAGACACGTCTGAATTCCTTCTATGGTAATTCCTAAAATTAATGTTAATGCTACCAAACTAAACTTTATAGAGCAGCTTGAGTGTAATAGTCAGGAAGCTCTTCAAAGTATTCCTTCTGAAACCTGCCAAGTAGTGATAGAACCTGTAATCAACATGACTCAGGTTTATATAGCTTCAAAAGGCGGAGATTTATATATCATTTTTCTTTCAAACTACCAATACAATATTAGGAAAAAATACTGTATCTGTGTGTATCTTTGAATTCTAAACATCACAGAAATAAATCAATCAATTTTTTATTAGTCATTCTCATGAACTGTAACAGATGAAATAGTGATTTTGTTGCATTATAGAGAGAAAATCAATAAGAAAGTCAACAGCAGCAAAGTCAGCAGAGACTGCATACCGAGCTAAAGTGAGGCATTTAGAAAAGAAGAAAAAACCCAAAAAAGTTGTAATTGAGGAACACATGCCCACTCAAGAAGAATTATTACAGGAAGCCAAAGCAACAGAAGAGGAGAATTTAAGATCTCTAGGTAAATTAATCATAGTTTCAATTAGGATGGATGGCAGTGGATCATACTAATTAGTGAAAAAGTAATTTTAGATTTTTTATAAAAAGCTGTGAGACTTTCTTTTGAATGTGCGAGACAATATTTCTCCAAAAGAACTGATTTAAATAAAGATTGTTCATATGAAATTAGATGCCTTATTCAAGATTGCAATGGATTATTAAATAATGGTGACAATATATTTTATTAGGGGTTCAAAATGTGCTGGAAATTATGATTGCCAAAACAGTTTTCAAATTTTAAGGGCTACTGTTTGTCAGTTTTCATATTTTAAGGGTTACTGTTTGTCGTGCTATGCTACTGTAACTTGTATTTCCAGAAAAATATCAAAGAATGGAGAGCGAGAAGAAAATTAAGAGACCTTTCAAAAAAACTATCTCTGAGCCACTGATTCAGTATAGATCTATGAGAATGCCTTTGATTGAAGAAATTCTTGCCAAAACTGAGTAAGTAAGAAGTATGATACATTTCCTATTTTCATATTCAGATTATTTGGATACAGCAATTTGAAACTATTTGAACGTCATATTATTCGTCATTTCACTGATTGATTAATAGGAATTTGAGAATACATGAAAAAATGTTGATCTCTGAAAATTAGTTTAATGTACGAGGGATGTCTTTTAAGTTTTGCATATAGAAACATAGTAGACCGCGCGGATCGAACGTCAGTGCTGAATCTTAACCTCACCCTTTAGTAAACTTAAATTCAAAGTTTCACAACAATACTGTTCTGTTCTCACTACAGTGAATTTTTAAGTGTCACCAGGTCGCCATAATTTATTACAGCTTTCAGAGACAATTATCGCAACAAGAATGCCTTGTTGAGTTACTGTCTGTTTTCTGCAACGAAGTGCCACATCAGTAGACAATTTTCCGTTGGTATGGAGAATTCAAACGTGGACGGGTGAGTCTTAGCGACGATCCCAGGGTGGGTGCACCAAAAACGGCAGTCACCCAGGAAAACTCGATGCTATGCGCAAACTCATCATTGAAAATATACATGTGACACATCGCGAGATTGAGGCGTACTTGAAGATATCAAAGACCTCAATTCAAAAAACTTTACATGAAGAATTAGGAGTAAGAAAATTACTTTCATTGACTGGAGAGCAGAAAGCAGCCAGGGTTAATTGGTATCAAAAAACGCTTGACCGTTTCAATTCCGGAAACTCAAAAAATGTGTACAGCATTGTTAGCGGTGATGAATCGTAGATTTACTGTTATGAACCAGAAAATAAACGACAGTCGGCTGTTTGGGTGTTCCAAGGTGAAGAAAAGCCAACAAAAGTCATCCGTTCTCGAAGTGTTTCGAAAAAGATGGTCGCGACATTTGTGTCAAAAGTGGGTCATATTGCTACAATTCCCTTAATGAGCAAAGAACTGTTACTGCGGATTGGTATACCACCATTTGTTTGCCAAAAGTCATCACCGAGCTTCGAAAAATCAACCCCGAAAGAAGAATCATCCTCCACCAAGACAATGCAAGCTCGCACACAGCCCAAAAAACAAGGCAGTATTTAACGGAAGAAAACGTCGAATTATTGGACCATCCTCCATATAGTCCCGTTCTAAGTCCTAACGATTTATTTACGCTCCCGAAAATTAAAAACAGACTGCGTGGTCAAAGGTTCCAGTCACCAGAAGAAGCAATTGACGCATTCAAAAATGCCGTTTTGGATCTGCCAGCAAACGAGTGGAATAAGAGCTTCGAAAATTGGTTCGAGCGCATGCAGATGTGTATTAATCTCCGTGGAGAATACTTCGAAAAACAATAAAGTCATTTAAAACTACCTACCGTGTTGTTTTATTTCCATATGCAAAACTTAAAAGACATCTCTCGTAGTTTCTCCTGAGATCAATAAATTTTATCAGAAATTTTATATATAATATATACCATCCCTGAAGTGATTTTTTGGAAATCTTCCAAAATGCCTATTTACAGCTGTAATAACTTCATTTGAAAAAAAAAACACTTCCCGCATAGAAAGTTTTTGGGGTATGGTAACAAATGAAGGTCAGTAGGCGCCAAATTTACTGAGTGGATCGGTTTTCAACCAATTACTAACGTTATTCTGTGGTTTTGTCATTGTTAGAGCTTGTAGTAGGTGTATTGTCCCTATGATGATTTGTTCTTCTGTAAACCTGATCTTTGCCTCAGAATTTTTAAAGCCAGGTTACAATAATGGTCCGTTGTTTTAGTTTTAACAATCTACAACAATATTCCTATTGTATCTCAAAAAATGGATGCCAAATTCTTTTCAACGATTTCGGCAGCTTTACTTGCTTTGGAGCAGTGCAACCGGGTTCAATCTACTCTGCAGTTTGATGTTGCAATTTAGGGACATGGTGGCAAAATAAACCCAAGTGTCATCCATGATTACAAGTATAAATTGATCAGATATTATTGGGAAAGCCTTACTCCAATTCGTTTTTGATATAAATGCTGTGTCCACCTTGCTAATAGCTTGCTAATCCCCCAATTTATTTTTAAACATATAAAACACAAATACATTTGAAATGCACACAGATTCACCAATTTGATACCCTGTAATATCATTGTCATGGACGTCTATACGACCAAATTCAGTAATCCGTTTTTTATACCGGAGCAGCCACGCAGGCAAAAGTCTAAATGCCAGGACACCGCGGCTGCTATGAGGATCCCAAAGAACCTTTTTTAATCCGATTTTTGGACTGCCTAAAGTTAGTAGAACTGGGAAACGCCCTCTTGTAGATTGTACCACAATCTCGTCACTCTAGGGACAAGGAGCGGTCGTGTATTATGGATGTACGAAGTTCGGCATGGTAAGGATGGGAGGCCGAAGTCAGGCGGGTCTGTCTGGCAGGAAAAGTACTTCTGAGCCCTGAACAAATAGCCTATGTTTTCCCCAGCAGCTACTGCTATTGGCGAGATGTGTTCGTGACGGATCAAGTCCTCAGTAATCTGGACTCCGACCAGCCGAAATGAACGACTTTTTGGCACAATTCGGATATCCATCGAAACCGAATGAGCGTCAGGACACTTTTTGTTCGTCAAGGTACAGTACTGTGTTTTGGAAGCATTAAACTTTACAAGATTGTGGAGTCCCCAAGCTGTGATAACCTCCAGGTCTCTTGTTAGAGAGGAAGTCGCTGCTAGTCCTCTTTTTTCCAGCTCACCAGCAGAGATCGGCTTGTCGCTCTGAATTCCTGTATGTAGACTGCTGTCATCAGCAAAACTGTGGATTGGATTGGTCGTACAGGAAAGGAAGTTGTTGCCTGAATGTTTGCAGCAAATATTTTGGCAAGGGCTTCCTCCTTAGCCATTGAGTCCATTACAATCGGCTTGGCCAGCATCCAGAAAGATCGACTGCCATAGCGCTAATTCGTTATATTTGTATCTGGATATTTTATATCCGTTCAGCCCTCTTATACCAGTATTTAATCAGTACACACTTTTGAGATATCACCATTTCCTAAGCTAACACGAATTACGTCTTGGTTTAAACCGTAGTACAGAGAAAAATATTTTTCAGATCAGCTTGAAACTGCGCATGAATATCTAGTAGTTCAGCAAACAATACGTTTTCAGATGCCAGTGCCCCCACTATGCAAGACCAGAAAGTTTGCAAATCACCTAGTAGATATATTAGAGTGTCATGCTACAGTAGTTTTTTTTTATCGAGCCTTGTTACCGTTACTCTCTCAAAATGTTTGAAATCGTGGTGCTTTTGTGGACATCTGACATTTATTGCATCAACTTTGTGAGATGTCAAAGCCGATAGGGGTGGCCACCCGCGACAGAATATCGCACTCTAGCCTGACACTGATGGTGGTGCATGCTGGTACTGTAGATTCATGATGTAGTTCGAGTAACTCGTTCTATTCCAGAAATGTGAAGGAAGAACAGCCGCAGAAGTATTATGAAAGGACGTTTATAACAGTGCTTAATGACCCACACGATGTTGTGTTCAAGAAGATTTTCAATGTGAAACAACCTGTTTTACCCCCTAAGAAGCTAAAGTGCGCTGTCACAGGGTAAGTTTTTGATTTTTACTACCCACGCCAATTGGCTAGGAGGAGGCTTTTTTTTAATGTTACCTGTACGTGACAGGCGCATCACGAAAATCCATGCCACTCATTTCTGTTGGTCTGTTTGTCTGTTCGCTAATCTTCCGCCCTTCCGTCTAACTTGGAAAGTACCGCTGGGGTTTTGATGAGATTTTAACAAACGGTTATCGCTATGCTAAGGATGAAAAAGCTTTGTAGGTTCTGAAAATCGATCCAGTGGCGGCGGAACTATGGTTACCGAGGTTCCTGCACATTTTAGGAAAATCATTGGGGGATGAAAAATGGTGGTAGGTGTTGAAGAGGGTATATCCCAATTTTTAGGCGTTATATATATAAAGAGAAAATGATCATGCGGAGAAAGGTATATAACAAAAAGTAGGAAAATAATGGGCAAAATCCGCAAAAAGGAGGACAGTGGATTCGAGCAGAAAATAGGATAGGTAACCCGAGCGATACGTATTTCTGCTGGTTGGCTTCATCAGGCCCGAAATGAATGCACATATGAAACTACAAAAGTAGATACACATGCCCACACATCCGGATACGGGTGTAACCTGAGGAAATGAAGATGGATAGGGAAAAAAAAACGACACACGAAGTCCAGAAATACGTATCGCTCGGGTTACCTATCCTAATTTCTGCTCGGATCCACTTTCCTCCTTTTTGCGGATTTTGCCCATTATTTTCCTATATATATATATATATATACGATTCTAACCCCGGTAAACCTGCATACATATTAGATATATTTCACAAATAGATTTCCCTATCCATTGGCCTTTAAGACTAAGAATAATGGAAATATTTTCATTATCTACATCAAGTGCATCGAAAAAAGAAGATACCCATGTTGTGAGGAGAAGATTCTAATTATTGTATGGACCTATTTGATTGACTTGATCCATTTATTTCCTCTGTTGTACATGTTTGTAGTTATTTTTTTAATAGGGGCTAACTTTGATACCGAACATAATTTTTCATGAACTGATGACAAAGTTGAGAGGGAAATGCAGAGTCAACTTGACGCCATTTCTGATTTGTATTAGTTGGGACATAAAATTGTATATTGCTCAATTTTTTCACTATATAGGGTAAGGAGGTTGTGCGGAGGAGTTTTTTCCTAGCTCCCAAAAAATAACTAAACTTTTTGCATTATCTGTGACTTTTGTATTTGACGAAACGTCACTGTACCAAATCGTGTCATGTTGCGGTCGAAGCACTCATGAGAACAGGATCAGAGAGGCTTCTTAGTCCTGAGTGCGCCTCAGGCATGCTCATACAGAGTATTGAGAATAAAAGAGGGCGTGTTTTTTTGAAATTAGACAGTATGTTAGTCAGGCACGAGCGCGCATTTCGAGATACAATCAACGTAATATTGTTATCTAGCCACGGCACGTTCAAGCTACTCGCCCGTTGACAGGAAAGGCAACGGTTTAGGCACGCGACAATTTCACTCTACATTGCTTGACATACCTACAGCTGTATCTTTCTGACTTCATTGTCCAACATAGTTGATCGACATTTTCGCGCGATATAAATAGCTTCCTTTCCCTCAATGTGATTTAGGTGGCAAAAGATTCCACGTTTGCATTTTGTGGTGTAGAACAGTTACTGCGAAGCTCTAGGATCATGTATACCACAGATAGACCATGTCAAGGTTCAGCCTCGCTGGGACGAGGGGTCCCCACATCTGACATGTATTCGCTGGATGCGTAATGATAGCGTTACCTGCCGGAAGTTGGACAGAAACATTTATGCTTGATACGTGTAATATAAAAATATTCAGGTAGTAAAGAAAATGATAGATATTTTGTCGATTTAAGTTTAGGAACAATTTTAAATTTAACCTGGAAATTGTCTTGATCTGATAAACGATGACAGCATAATATTTGAACCATTGGCAGACCTTAGTTGATCTTACAAGACACAGATTTTACCATAGAGACTTATTCCACTATCTGACCGATGTTTCCTTCTTTGTCCACAACGTGCGCGGAGATTGATTCAGTTGCCCCCACTATGCGCTTTGCTCTCAGCTAATAGGGATGTAAAAGGTCCGACAGTTCTGTAACATCTATATGCTTGAATATGATACATTCCGAAAATTTGAATTTGTTTTGAATGATCACTGATTATTATTTTTTAGGATGCCAGCAAAATATGTTGACCCAGTGACTTGTGTACCATACCACAATAGTACTTGTCTCAAGATTATCAGACTAGCCTATTATGACTACCTGGAACACAATGGTGACAAAACCAATCCTATGGTCTCAGAATTCCTAAAATGGTTTAGTGCAAATAAAGACCGGCTCAGAAAAGAGTTGTTGATGTCGAGACAGAAGAATATTTTCGCCTTAAATCAGTGATGTGTTTTTTATACATAGGACGATTTGTTTTGATGATATCTTGGTAAAGGCACCAGAGCGGCACTATATTTTAATGTGATTGTGTGAGATCTATTTTATGTTGCGGATAATCTTGTGTTGAAGTTTGAGTATTGTTTAATTTTGATGATCAAACCCAGTTCGAATGTACAATTTTATTTAATATATTTACTATTAAGGGATTCAACTTAAATAAAATAAATATAAACATAAACTGTGATTTTATGTCTTTATTCACTTTTACAGCTTTGTGGTGTATGATGAAGAAAAGTGAAATGTTGATAAAAACATCTGAATAAACATTCAAGGAAGTGAACTGCGTTGACTTTTGTTACTTTGTTACTTATTGCTCAGAGGCAAATCCTTGGGCCCGGTAGAACAGAATGCTCCCTGAGGAATGATCCCAAATTATGACAGCTGTTGTCATTCATAAAATACGTTTGTGAGTACATCCATGTTTGATAAATAAATAATTTTTCATGTTTTTCATATCACTCCACGCTTATTCTTGACAATGACCCCAGGAATAAGTCTGCTATCAGTGTTAAAGAATATGTTTCCACACCTACTTTTTGTCAAGTGTACCTACGTCATCGTTTTTAAGAATAAACCCCTCAGATGCCATGACATCAGTTTTTTTTATTATGAGCCCCTCACGAAGATCTTGCAGTATTTTAAAAATACTGTGAATTTCTTATTTTAATAAATAGTCATTAAAAGTCGAAAATCATAATATTCGTATAAAAACCTGAATTTTTTCTTCTTTATAGGTGCAAAAATAGCGTAAAAACGCGTTTTCAAGCACATGATTTTCAAAAACTTTTCAGACTCTCCGGTGGAGGGCCCCTTTACAGGTTTTAGCTGAGCGTCCCAAATATTCCTAATCCGGGCCTGATTTAGATTGATCAGCAAGTCCAATCATAGGATCAATTTCAGATATTACATTGAGAAACGCATGTGCCCATCGGTCAGATCCACTGGATGGAACACTACCTTCGACGACGATCATCTACTACCTACAGACACAATCAGAATCACTTGCGTATCCAGAAAAAAGTTCTGGTAGTGGGAGGAGGGGTGGCCCTGAAGATCGAATGCAAGTCATCATAACCATGGTCATTCCTATAACAGAAGAACATTCTCCCAATACAATATTCCAACAAACATGACGCGCAGTTTAGTAGGCATACACCGTAACTTACTGTGGTACCCATAGCTTATTCTCCGGGTGAAATACCCTTTTCCGTATGAGATAAATCTGAGAAAGAAATGATTTTTGTATGTAGTTGATTAAAATCATTTGATTAAAGGAGCTGTGTTTTTTTATCAATTTCAAATGATACAACAAAAAAGCACATATAAGTCACGTCATCTCAATAAAATAGAAAACAGTGAATTTGCATAGAAGGAGTGCCCAAAACCGAACCCGCATTTTGTTACTTATTAAGAAAATGTAAAAAATAACAAAAAGGATGTTTTAAAAGCATGCAACGTTTACTTTTCAATTTTAAGCATCATTTACTTTACACGTTTATAAATTGTAGTTAAAAATTATTATCAAAAAAGGTATTTCCAAAAAATCTTTCATACTCCTAATTTGAAAAACAACAACGGAGCTGGTTTTTCAATAGCTTAAGAATGACAGTAACGACACTATAATTCAGAAAAAGATCGACAGCTTATATTGATCAATTGGGGTCTCTTATGATTGTTTTTGGGAAAAACACTCTGGTTTGGTTCTGTCATTTTGATAATGTGGTAAATTATTCTAACAACAGGTCCGATACCATCGCCCAGAAAAACCGAGGATATAAATTTTCGGATCACTAACTCAAATTTGACACTTTTGTTGGACTTTTTGGGCAATCGATCGAAATAGTATTGATACAAGGCTAATATTCTCATTGGCACGGAAGTATTGCAGTCTCGACAAATTTGGAAAATGAGATTACATGTACAACCAGTGGCGGCTCGTGAGGTAGTGCCACGGTGCCATGGCACTACCTTGTCTTCTTCAAAAAGAATATTTTTTTCAATCTTCGATGTTTTACTTTATTTTCTGCTTTTTCATTTTTTTTTTTGGTATAAATTATATGAAGTGACAACACTGACAACGTGACAACACCGCAAGCACCCGACCGACGCGACGCGACGAGACGAAAAGCATGTCTTGACCTTGACGTCATCAACTTGTGCCAATTTTGGGCCGGCCCAAATAAAAAGAGAGAAATTTTACCAGCATCGCATACGAGCGACAGAGATAACGCTAGGCTAGCAATTTTTATATGAGATGAATAGCGAAAGACACGTATAATTCGTGCCAGGCACATCATCACATCATCAGTCGTAATTCGTTATCAAATGATATCGGCGGTGTTTTTGTTCGGTCGGTCGTTTCGTTATGATTACATCTAGTGCTGATTTCGGTCTTTTTTTACCTGAAAAGTGAGAAATAACGTTTTTGTTTTAGTACGTCTAGTGTTAATGAACTGCTCTGTTTTGTGATCATATTTTTTACTGTTTTATTAAAACTAGTGAAAATGAATAAAATCGGGATATTAAAAAACTCATTTAGTGGTTTTTCGCTGGATCAAAAACTGCAAATTAAAGAATTAGGACGGCCAATACCCGATTTAAAAATTGAGAAACAAAGTGGTAGCGGACAAAAATCGCGCTGTCGCAAATTTAATAAAAATGTGTACGATAAAAACAGCTGGATATGTGGTTGTGAAGAAACGAATAAACTATTTTGTTTTGTATGTGTTCTATTTGGAGGTGACGAGACTTGGTCAAAAAAAGGTACAGACGATCTTATACATATATGGGATAAAATGAAGACCCACGAAAAATCTAAAGTCCATATGAATAATGTTTTTAGCTTTTCTATTCTTGGTAAATTAAATATAAGGACTCAACTCAATTCGGCTTATCGCAATGATCTAATTAAACATAATAATCAAGTGGATAAGAATCGATATGTATTGAATAAAATTATTAATTGTATAAGGTTTTGTGGAGCATTTGAGTTAGCCTTAAGGGGTCATGATAAAAAGGAAAATTCGGAAAACATAGGCATATTTAAGGAGCTGGTGAATTTTAGCGCCGAATTAGACAACGAATTGAAAGTCCATATTCAAAGTGCCAAACTTTTTAAGGGTACCTCAAATACAACTCAAAACGAGCTTCTTGAGTGCATGCTAGATGTTTATCATGAAGAAGTTAAGAAGGAGATTGCAAATTCTCCTTTTGTTGCAGTAATTGCCGATGAAACGACGGACGTAGCCTGTGAATTTCAGTTAGTTATTATTTTCAGATATTTGTGTAAAGGACAACCAGTTGAGAGATTTTGGAGATTTTACGTCCCCGACGGACACGATGCCAAATCAATCGCTACATGCGTTTTAAATGTTGTAAATCCATTACTAGATCAAAATCCAAACAAATTAATAGCTCAAAGCTATGATGGTGCGTCTGTTATAAGTGGTGAATTGAATGGCATTCAAAAAATTATTAAGGAAACTTATCCACTTGCAAATTATGTTGATTGCTATGCACACCAGTTAAATCTAATTATGACAAGCGCATGCTCTGTCAATAAGCAGGCTAGAATATTTTTCCATAATTTATCTGGATTGTGCTCTTTTTTTTCGACGTCTCCTCAAAGAACAAAAATTTTGGATGAAATAGTTAATCGCAGATTGCCAAGATCTTCCCAAACACGTTGGAATTTTCAGTCACGAGGTGTTCATACAGTTTATGAAAATAGGAAAGACCTGATTGAAGTTATGGACAATACAGAAAGTACTTCACGCGATTCTTCGTCGATTAATCAAGCCAGTGGGTACAAATTAAAGCTGCAAGATACAAATTTTGGATTTTGGCTAAGTATTTTCCATAAAATAATGCCACATGTTGAAATTGTCTTTAACCAATTACAAAAAGTATGCACCGATTCTGTTAAGGTCAAAAATGATTTAGAGAATTTTGAAGCAGCAATTCAAACTATACGAGAACAAATGGATAGCATTATTGACGAGATTGAACGAGTGCAGAGAGAAACTGATGAACCGGCAAGAAAAAAAAGGCAAGTTGAAGAAGGCAGCAAAAAACGGGAAGCGTTAGAAATATGCGATGCAGTATTATCGCAAATAAGAACAAGATTTAACTTTTCTGGGCATTTAGTTGCTTCTAATTTATTTGTGTCTGAAAAGTTTTCTGTTTATAAACATCAGTTTCCTGAAGCACATTTAAATGACACATGCACACAATTTTCATTTTTAGACAAAAACAGGCTTAAAACTGAGTTACAAGTATTATATCAGAGAGAAGAATTGAGTACTACTTCTGGAGCTGTTCCACTATCCATTTTATTGAACGAGGAAGGATTAAATTGTACGTTTCAAGAAACTCTTAAGCTCTTAAGTATTTTAATCACTATACCGATGTCAACATCTGAAGCAGAACGCTCTTTTTCAATGCTGAAACGGATTAAAACTTTCCTCAGAAACACAATGAAGGAAGAAAGGCTTAGTGCTTTAGGACTGCTGTCTGCAGAAAAACATTTTGTTAGTGGCATTGAAAATTTTAATAATAAGGTAATCGAAAACTTTGCTACCAAAAAAGAAAGAAGAATGGACTTCATATATAGAAAACTTTGAAGTTATAGGTACTTCTCCACACTTGTTTTATAATTTGGTGCGCGTGTGTAAATAGTTTTATTTTAGATTTTTTTTGGACATATAGATTTATTGAACCTCAAGAACTTTGACCACTAACTATCAGGGGTAAGTTATAAGTTATTCTTTACAATTTTGAATCGATTCAAAGTTATGGCTTCCATTCTGGCACTACCTCATTGAATTGGCACGAGCCGCCACTGTGTACAACACCAAAAAGCGTGCAACTCATTTCCGTCGGTCTGTCCGCTGATCCTTGTCCCATTTAGAACGTACTGTTCGGTTTTTCACACAAGGTTATCACTACGCCAAGGTCGAAAAAGCTTCTGAAGTTTTTGAAAACCAGTCCGCGGCGGCAGAGCTACTGGCGCAAAAAGAAAAATCGAAACTGTGGTTAAAAAAACGGAAAAACCAAAAATCGTTAAATCATCGCTTTTCGACGTTGTCGAGGTAACTGTGCATTTTTTAAATTCCTAGGGGGGCAGGGCAGAACTGCCAAAGCTTTTGTCTTAACAGAAAAAAAGCAGTAGTAATTTGAT